GGTATATTTTCAACTCAATAGTGTAAGGTCACAGTCAAAAGGTCTCATGAGTAATTCATATCTATGCAATATCAATACAAGATATCATATACCACTTCAAAGAAGATATTGTATGGCTTCAAGTGTTGTGAATTTTGTAATTCAGACATTCTTATACAGTTTATTTAGATGGAATAGTATTGTTAAATTGATAAATACCTTGGACTATAATGTATGATAACATGATTTTTCATAAAATGTTTTATGTTGAGTGTCCTGCAAATGGAACATTGTTAGTTATGATAAATAGTACTGTAAAATCTGTAGTAGAAACCGCGGCTTCTATTGAAATGGTACAATGCAACAGAGGGTATGCGGCTTCTATTAGAGCATCTTCACATATGAAAAATGGCGAATTTTTGGTTACCAATTGTTCAAAAAAAAATGGATGAGACTTCTATTAGGGATGCGGCTTCTAATGCAGATTTTACGGTAAATCGATTCGCCGTACAGTATGGAGTATGGAACGGGGGGCAGACTGAATTTGTTCTCGGATGCAAAATGTCATGTCAACCCAGACGAGAAAGATGTTCATCTTTGGTGTCCCCCAGTACTAATTCACAGTCACACATCATCATCTACTACAGACATCGATTACCATCTAGTGTCTATACGTGATGATCGCCGTAGTGATGCAAACATAGTGATCTCTACGGAAACCATTGGTGATCTCATCAATATAAATGCAATACTAAGAGGTTCATAGAGCTTAAGTACTTTAACAAGCACTTTTCTACTGTAGTCTTGTGTGTCTAGTTACAGTGTTTGCGCCATTAGAAGTGTATGCGCCTAACACATCATCGTCTGATAGCCGCCACAGCTGGAAAAAATGGCATCAAGAGACGATGTTAAATAAATAGGTCAAATTAGGTTAGTCTTTATGTGGTTGGTCTGTAAAGTCAGTAATAATTAGCTTCCTGGCTTGCCCATGTGACTCTGACACATATACCATCATCTACTGTAAAATAGTTTATTGTAGCTGGAATTAATTTTCACTTTTTGGGTATTTTGTACGGAATTTATTTTCACTGATTTTTGACGAGTTGAATGTGAAATATAGGAAAAAGGTACATTTGCTGGATTTTATTTTCACTGAATTATCCTGTCAGCGAAAATAGCGAAAATTAATTCCAAGCGAAAATAAAGTGTTTTACAGTATCAGAAGAAAATCTCTAAAAGAAGTGTATAAAAATTGAACAATACATTTATTGTATACTTAGTCATTAAAAATGTCTTTGTATGGCCTCTGTTATTTATGTAATGTGTGACTAATAGAGATATGATGAAATATATATGAAATATGATGATTGTCTCTCAAATTTTTCTGCACTTGTTTTCTTCAATATTTCTGGAAATATAGCAAAATTTGAGTAAGTTTTCTGATTTACTCAAAAATTTGGCTATTTTTGTCCCAATCTTCTGAAGAAAAATGCAGACTATAAACAGGACTATTTTGTGAATTTGTGATGAAAAATGGAAATTGGTCTTGAAAAGGTCGGGGGTCACACTAAAGTTTTCTAATATCTGGTAAATATAACAATAGTTTTAATCAATGTATTCATCTAATGATTTTGTACTTCTTCAAATTTCCATTCAACTCAGTATAGATAAGTTTTCTGGGTAATTAGTTTAAACATTTGAATTAATAGTGTTATTTGTAACAAAGTTTGCATTTAATCCCTAGCATCAGAAAATCATATGCTAGCCTGTGATTATAGGCATTTCAACTTTGAAGTACCGGTATGCCCTCTATGGTCAAAAATGACAGCTGTGATCTATCATTCAAATGCAGAAGTCAACATTCACAAATAAAATTTTTGTAAACCTCAGGGAACAATGTGTTTATGACATTAAATTTGATAAATGAAATGATCCATAGTAATGATGCTCCACTTCTGTCATTGTCTCCCCAGTCATCTTCATCTAGCACAATACAGATCATCTTAAAAATAACACAAGTCAAATAAAATGTGTTTTTTTATTACGAGCTGCACTATGCGGACTGATGTATCCTATTCATTTCCCTCTAGTATGCATGTTAATCTGTACTTCTGATACTGGTGTGTTAAGAGAGCTCGATACAATGTCCTTGCATTCACATGTACTGGTACCATGTGATATTTTCAGGAATTAGACGTCAGTTTCGCAATAATTTCCATCTCTCCAGCTGCAGTAATTTACGACAGTGATTACCAGTACATCATTTAAGAAGCTGGTGGCTCTTATTCATTATTTGATGCAATGATAGCAATACAGATCACTTCTGTGACTATATGAAAAAAAAAACAGTACTACAATCGTTATTACTCACGGCATGTAAAATAAACTTTCTATAGACAACTTTTTGCAAACTTGAAAGACGGGATATTTTACACATTTATAATAAAAAAAAAGTGCCATCAAGTTTTTAAAATCCATTGGTAAACAGTAAGATTGTATTACTTGTACAATGCTGGCAGTGATTATAACCATACTCAGTGTGTCATCATTTCATTTCAGTCACATTAATTAAAAATTTCCCATCTTTGCATAAAAGGAAATGCACACGTGGATTTCATAATTGTGGAACAAATGTGCAGTTTTTAATAATGGTGTGAAACTTGTATGCATTTTAAATTTATGGTGTGAAACCTATATTGCATATACA